AATGTAGGAGAAATGCCCCCCATCAGTCACAAATACATATTTCAGTCATCCGCCATTTTGTTATACAGCGTCTAGGAAGGCCATTTTGTATTTTAATAAAAAAAATACCGCGCGAGTTTCGAATATGTTACAATTTTTATTTTATTTTAAATTTCACTAGATTCAACGGTCGATAAAGGGTAAAAATTAGAACCTACTTTAATGACACGATATTTATACCAAGTTTCAATAAATCCGTTGAGTAATTCTAACGTCGACACACGTAAGACGGTACTAAAAATCAAACTTCCCTCACAAAATTAAAAAAAAACGGGATTAAAAGATTTATATGAATTATCACAGTCTTTCCAAATAAATTCAACCATTTTAAAATGTGAATCCAACAGCAGTTGTTTATAAACGTCCCTAAAACACGATGTTGGAGTCAAACACTCTACACATAACCTAACAACGAATTTATCACTAACGCAATAAAAACGTACCGGAGAAGAGAAGTTCCGCACGGACTCTACCAACCAAACAACCGAATGAAAAAAAAAAACGCCCCCCCCCCCCCCTTCCTGCAGTCCGTACCGATTAGAAGACTTAAATCTAATAAATGAACGGAAATACTCCCGAGGCGAAATTACGGTGCAAAAGATTAAAGTCCGGAGCACTTACCTAGATAAGGCGTCGTCCAATTCTTCGTAATATATCAGCGGGGTGAATCCACCTGCCCCTTCTTCAACGACAGGCCCGAGAGTATTCTGATACGTGATCCATGTTTATAAAGTCACAACGCGCAAATCAGTCAAGAGCTCTTTGAATCTGATAACACTGAAGGCTATTTATCTTTATAGTATAGTATTATTTATATTTCAGACGTAAGGTCATCCTATAGTGACGTGCAGACTTAGCCAACTACATAATAAGGCAATAAGGACCTCTGAAACGTCGGTAAACTACCAGACTACATGGCACAACAACCCAGAAGACAGCCACATTTAAATACTGCATTCAGTGTTCAATGTTTCTAAAAACAAACCCCCCAGGAACAGATGGTAACCAGGTAAGAACACGCAGAAACCCCACTAAGGTCTTTCTTAACCCCACTTATATTTTCCAAAGTCCGTCAACTTTTCAATAAACCCAATTTATTTTTTTTACACGAAGTATTATGAAGTTTCGTAAGTAATAACGAGGATTACCCACATAAAAAATTAATCAAAGTTCGGTGTAATCACTTTGACGTTAATCAAGCAATTACGTGACGAAATATCCCTACACAGGCAGGCCGCAAATTCTGCCAAATACCCGATTTATTTCAAGCTAAACCTGAGATACAAGAGAAATCTCTTACGCATTCCCGTCTTTGGAACGGGATCTTGTGAACACACAGACGAACGCCCACGTAGAACACGAGGAATTTGACGAGATAAGCGACTGTCAGCCTAAGAGGGACCGAGTCATCTATCCCCGGCCGGATGACTGTTAAAATAAGGGTTAGTTGTCTCCGTACTTAACTGAGCATTCCGTCATGACGTATGAGGGCGTTGAGGCACAGCTCCACACACATTAACCTCAGCGCTATATGAAAGTAGGTTATGAGATGGTAAAGTTGCGTCATATTGTGATATAATAAATATATATTGTTTAAATCTTGTCCGTCTAATCACGATAAATTCTTATTAAATATTAAAATATTACATTAATTAACATTTAAAATATTAAATGATGTTCTTTATCGAAATATTC